TTGTCCTGATAAATGCAAAACAAAATAATATAATTTATAATAATATATATTATCGGCAAAGAAGATAAACGATTTTGTTTTAATAGCAGCTATAACGTTTATTTAACAAATTTAGTTATGAAAGTTAATTATAAAATATTACAGCGTAGCGCTTTAAAAACTTTTGTCTTTTCTCGTCCTCTTACTTTTTTCCGAATAAAAAGTGCGAAAGGAAAAATAGAAGACTTCAGAACATACGCAAGGTCGCATTTATGATTGAAGCATTAGGGCTGGTTTCGACGGCAACATCCCCCCCTTCGTAAATGACCACCGGGTTATTTACCATCTTCTGAGCCGACATCCAGCTTAGCTACCTTCGTCGCCGGTCTCTCCATTACTCCTAGATTTGTCTTTATGGTTACTCGTCTAACTTGACCATCCTTCGCTATCACTGTGCTGATTACTCGACCTTTGGGCCACAGATTTCGTGGCAGGTTTTCATCTACGACGATTACAATATCGTCAACAGCCAGAGGTGTTGATTTCTGGAACCATTTATTTCGTTTCGTGAGCACTGGCGTATATTCCTTTACCCAACGCTGCCAAAAGGAATCTCCGAATAGTTGCACTCGACGCCAACGCTGCCTGACGTCCATGTCGTTACTGCAAGCAGGCTTATACCCATCCGCCGAGCCGAGTAGTAAATGGTTGGGGGTTAATGCAGTGTCGTCAATCGATTCGAGGCTCACAAAGGTAAGTGGGCGTGAATTGATGATGAATTCGGCTTCCATCAATGCGCAACGTAGACCTTCATCGTTGAATGAATATGAGGGACAGATGCTTCGTAATGTGGTTTTCGCTGACCGGACGAGACGCTCCCACACTCCTCCCATGTGTGGGGCACTAGGTGGATTAAAGCGCCATATTATACGGTCGTATTTAACGGAAATTTTGTCGAAGTCGATTTCGATGAGCTTTTCACGAACTAGCTTTTCTGTTGCTTTAAAATTCGTGCCATTGTCGGAATAAATTTCCCTCGGAGTGCCTCGTCTTGCCATAAAATTACGTAGGCACATGATGCAAGAACTAGTGTCCAGGCTGTAGGCTATCTCAAAATGTACTGCACGGAGAGTCAAGCACGTGAAAAGCACGACCCATCTCTTCTCTTTGTGTCTGCCAACATTCACAAATATCGGGCCGAAATAGTCTACGCCGGTATAAGTGAACGGCTTGGCGAAGCTGGCCAGTCTTGCAGCAGGTATCGGTACCATCTGTGGAGGTGTAGGTACCGCTGAGTGAATTTTGCACTTCTGACAGGAGTGTCGCACCGCTTTGTACAATACCCGAAGACGTGGTATGTAGTAGGAACTTCTCACGTTGTTTATGACGGTCTCGTGAGCCATATGGTGAAAGTTTTCGTGATGGGCCCTTACGATGAGAAACGTCGTATGGTTCTCTCGCGGCATTACAATGGCGTCCATGTGGCAGTCGATAGAACTGGCTCTTCCTTGGATGCGCAAAATTCCATGATCATCTAGGTAAGCATTTAGCCCAGATAATCTGCTTTGTTTACCCAGTGATTGCCCAGCGTGTAACGAATTGACCTCGGAAGAATATGTTTCAAACTGCGCCTGCTTGATGAGAATATTCTCTGCTGCGCGGATCATCTCGGGTGTAATCTTGTTCGGCTTGCTGTAGCCGTGTACTCTAGCCTTTAGCTTAGCTATGTATAAAACAAATGTCGCGACCGCTCTGTACAGGCGACGCCAATCGGAAAAGTATTCCACGTTGAGGGTGATGGCTGGAGTTTTCCTCATCACGTATATATGTTTGCGCAACTCGGTCGTATCAACGTCATCAGCTTTGCACTCGAACACGGGCCAGTTGCAGCTTTTCATAAACAGGAAATCGGGACCGTGCAGCCACTCATTGATTTGCACCGAACTGTTCACCTTGGTTGCTGCGTCCGCCACGTTTAATTTTGTCGGGACCCATCGCCATTGTTTGCTGTCTGAGTTCTCAAGGATCTCTCCGACACGATGCATGACGAATTGCTGAAAATTGCGCGGATCCATCTTCAACCACTGCAAAACGGTTCTCGAATCTGACCAATATGTCACGTTTTGTATTTTTAGTCTACGAACGTTTATAATTCTCTGAGCTAAACGCAAGCCCATCACAGCAGCTTGCAATTCCATGCGCGGAATAGAAACCGGTTTAAGTGGAGCGACTTTGCTTTTCGCGGCCACCAACGACAAATCGACGAGATCTCCTCGAAGGACCCTCAGGTAACAGACTGCAGCGTAAGCATATTCGCTTGCGTCAACAAACGTGTGCAATTCTACTTTTGTGCCAGAAAACAAATGTTTAGAGTAGCACCTCGGAATTTCGATTGCTTCAACCAGTGGCAGCGTACGCTTCCATAGTAGCCAACCGTCGATGAGCTCCTCTGGCAGCACCTCGTCCCAGCCAATATTGACGCGCCATACGCGTTGTAGAAGAATTTTCAGGCCAATCGTGTAACATGAGACTAGTCCCAATGGGTCGAAAATCGACATGAGAACCTGGAGAACTTCTCTCTTTGTTGGGACGACGTCCTCCGCTAAGACGTCTCGCCGCAGTCGAGCAAACCTAAGAATATACTTAAAGACGTCATTATATGGCTCCCAATACATACCCAGCACCTTTTCGGTCTCTGAGAACTGGACGGGACTTTGCACTGCTGGGTCAATATTTGATAGCTGTCTGAGGACATTGGGAGAATTCGATGCCCAATTTCGGATCTCAAATCCACCGGCTCGATGAACACTTCGAACTTCATCTGCTACTGCGAATGCTGCTTCTTCGTTTTCGGCGCTGTCGATGTAATCGTCCACATAGTGCGCATTTTGAATGGCCTCATATGCACTGGGATATTTCTGACGATTTTGTTCGGCATTTTTATTCCGGACGTAGTGCGCAATACATGGACCGCAGTTTATTCCGAAGGTCATCGCACACATTACATATGCCTTCGTTTGCCCACTGATTTGGTCATACCATAAGAAGCGTTGCGCATGCATATCTTCTTTGCGAATGTTGATTCTGTGGAACATCTCGGCGATGTCCGCACAGATCGCTACCTCCCCAACTCTGAACCTCAGTAGGATTTCGATGAGAGGTTGTAATAAGTCGGGTCCGGTAAGTAAATGATCGTTTAACGATGTACCGTGAGACTTCGCTGCCGCATCCCACACAAGTCTTACCTTGTTCGGCTTGTTGGGATTTTTTGCTATAAAGATCGGTAGATACCAGATATGCTTGTTGTTGATCGCCATATCGGTCTTTGAAAGTTCAACTGCATAATTCTTTTGTATTAAATTGCGGATTTGGTTATCGATTTTGCCGTATAATTCGGGTTCACGTTTAATCTTATTTTTTAAACAGTTGAGACGACTAACCGCGTTGTTATAGCTTTCAGGTAGACTGTAGTCCTCGTCGCGCCATAGGAGTCCGACTTCGAATCGTCCGTCTACTTTAATGCACGTTCGATCGAGAATCTCAATAGCCCGTTTGTCATCGTTTGATTGTAAGTTTTGTGGTTTCACTGACTCCAAGCTGAAGCTCTCTTTAACGATGTCGTGTAACTCTTGCCATTTGCATTCGCAGTGATGCATTGTCACGTAGGTTGCTGCAGTCGACGTACCTTGGATGCTCCATCCCAACAAGCACTTGGAAGCGATCGGCTCATGCCGCTTACCTTCGCGTATTCTGCGTGGAACTGCAATTTTCCAATTGTCTGCTCCTATGAGCAACGTTGGTTGGATGTCATCATACGAAGGCAAAGGTATATCCCTTAAATAGGGATAGCTGCTTCGTAACTCGCTAGCTTTCATAGACTGTTTTGGTAAAGCCAGATTCTGAACGGTATGCACATTGTTCAGCCAAAACAGTTTATTGGAGTGTGGTGCGGATATTTGGACTGACGCTCGCACCGATGTGCTCTCGTTGCGAGTAGTTTCGCTCGTCCATTGTAGACATATTGGTGACGGTACCCCCTTTATGCCAAGTTTTTTGAATGTTGACCCATCAATGAGTGTCACAGACGACCCTTCGTCCAAAAACGCAAAAATGTTAATTGTCTTACCTGCTGCATGAAGCTGCACTGGTATCATGCGAAAGTACTGACTGCTGGTGTTATCAGCACGATGCGTGCTTACCACGGCCTGATCGTTCTCTAGCTTATTTGTGCCTTCGTTACCCTCGCTATGCAGCAGTGGGTGATGCTTCTTTGAACAGCCGTTTACGCCACAAGTCTTTTTCGAGAAACAGCCCTTGCGGTGAGACTTCAGACAACGATAACAAGCTTTCTCCTTTTTTACCATCTGCCACCTCTCGTTTGCTGACAAGTCCCTGAAGGTTGGACACAGTGCGACGTAGTGATCAGTCGTACCACACGCGACGCATTTCACTGTATACTGCTTTGACTGGAGCAGAGAGCGGTTCTCTGCATGCGAGCAGTTCTGGCCACGTCGTATGTCATTTCTTGCCTGTACACTATTGCTGCTGCTGTGGGTGTTCACGGAGCTTGTTTTGTAGATGACAGCAGGTGATACTACGGTCGATGCTGCTTCGGCTATACGATATAGCCAGTTGCTGAATTGCTGGATAGATGGTGAACCATCGCGTGGGTACATCGCCCAAGCGAGCTTGTGCTGATTAGGTAACTTATCAACCAGCTCTTTCACCAGCATTGGGTTGTTCAAGTGTTGCTCGAGCTTACAGGTTTGCATCGTTGCACAGATGTTACGAACAGCTAGTGCGAATTCTATGAGCGACTCAAGCCTTTCTTTCGGAGGAGGTATCTTTCTCGCCTTCGTAATCATTCTTTCCAGAATGTGCTCAGGCCTGCCAAAAAACATCTTAAGCGTGTTGAGAACATCAGGAACCATCGTTGGAAGGAGCAACTTGTCCTTGACCAATTCACGTGCCTTACCTTTAAGACACCGCTGTAAACGCAGCATGTTTTCCACATTCGAAAACCCTGCTATAGATGTACTGTGCTCAAACGTACTGATGAACATCGGCCATTCTTCCGGGTCGCCGCTAAAGATTGGCAACTCTTTCGGTATGGCTTGCCTGGCTGCTATTTGCGAAGGTGAAGGTGCAGAGCTGGCTGTAATCTGGGTAATTGGCACGGATGTGCCGGCAGTGTTCATTTGAGCAAGGAGCTGATACTTTTGCTCTATGAAGCGCTCCTCTGCAGCCCGTTTCTCTTCAAGCATAGCCATCATAAGTTGATGTTGACGATTGCCCTCGCTCGATCGACATTGCGATGGGAGATGTTCGCCCACCTGTAGTAAGTTGTCTTGAAGGACGATGTCAATTGATTGCGCACATTGCTGTGCGACTGGTTCAGATTGTGTCGCTTCTGATGATGAATCAGCCGATGCATTTGTCTGCTGCATTGTGCTTGTATGCCCTGGTCCTGTGATGTTAGTTTCCTTAACACAGGAAGCACAACTCCAATCACGATGCTGCACACTTTCGTCTACACCAGCGCATGCGAAGTGAAACCAAAGTTCACATTCATCACACTGCACCCAGTTTTCCACAACCGATTTATCTGCCTTCTTTCCACAGACCTTACAAATGCACATGTCTGCTGCAGCGCTATAGTGTGGAGCTCGAAAACTGGGGTGCGATTGCTATTTTCAGAACGGATGCTGCTTATTTCGCTGGATATATTCTTGCGAACGCCTTCGTCACTGTCGCCTTTTTATGCAAGAGCCTTTAGCAGGTGCACGTGCAGAACAATGAACGCGATTCCAAGTAATAATCCAAGTGCCAACAAGTGTTCAAAAAGTTTTTAAAGATTTATTATCGGCAAAGAAGATAAACGATTTTGTTTTAATAGCAGCTATAACGTTTATTTAACAAATTTAGTTATGAAAGTTAATTATAAAATATTACAGCGTAGCGCTTTAAAAACTTTTGTCTTTTCTCGTCCTCTTACTTTTTTCCGAATAAAAAGTGCGAAAGGAAAAATAGAAGACTTCAGAACATACGCAAGGTCGCATTTATGATTGAAGCATTGGGGCTGGTTTCGACGGCAACAATATACTTGTAGAGTAACAACGAATACACATTTCGGTTTTTATTTCATTGAAATATTCTACCTGGTTCAAAAGATATGTGCAAAAAGGTCGCGCAAGGTATGGGTACGTACATAGGTAGCAAATACACTGGTATAACTGGTTTTTGTATTTTATATGCAGCTGCAAGGGTTGTTTTCACACGAGGTGTTGTTATAAATGCTGCCTGTTGATATTTTCATTATTGTTTTGGTGCTCAAAAGTGTAAGAAGTGAAAATATAAGTGAAAATAATTATAACTGAAACTATAAATAACTGGATACGAAATGACTTCAAGAAGAAACGAATATTTATCAAGTGCAGCATATAGAAGGTAAAAAATGTAAAATAAGCAACAATGTAAACATATACTAATTTTTTTTTATTATGCAGGCTAACTGAGGAACAGCGAGAATCATATATACAATCTTTATTTGATGAAATTTGTGACGATGACGCTCCCTATGACTTTGACTCAGAAGATGAAGAAGAAATTCAAATCAATGACATTGAAATTGCTGATGACGATGCTGAAGTTTCGCAAAGTGCCGCAGAAGCATTACCTGATTATGCGGACTATGAGGATGATGAAGAAGACGATGAAGAAGAAGAAGTAGAAGAAAATAATGAATTACCTGCTAGTGCCGAAAAATTTGTTGCACGTGATGGTACTGAGTGGATGAAAGAACCAAATGTCGTCAGGTACTCAGACAAAATATTATAAGAGAACGTTCTGGACCAGCTAGATGCACTGAAATGTTGTCAATAGAGCAAACATTCAAATGTTTCATGAACGTTGAAATGGCTGATATAATTATGCGCCACACAAATAAGTTAGCAAAAGAAACTTATAATGCTTACAACAATGCGCATCCAAACACAACTCCTAAGTCATGGACGCGTGTGTCAATAACAGAGCTGTATGCATTTTTTGGCATACTTATTATGACTGGTGCGAACCATAGCAATGGAGAACATGTTCGAGATTTATGGAGCGTCAAAAACTATCCTTTATATCGCGCCACAATGGGAGTCAACCGTTTCTGTTCGATATTGCGGTTCCTAAGATTTGACGATAAAAACACTCGTGCAACACGCTTACTAACTGATAAAGCAGCACCGATCAGTGAGTTGTGGACGATGATGAACAATAATCTTGCTGCACATTACAAGCCCAGCTCATGCTTGACGATTGATGAACAATTATTTCCTTACCGTGGACGCACACGGTTTACGCAGTACATACCGTCAAAACCTGCTAAATATGGTATCTAGGTTTGGTGGATTTGCGATGCCACAAATGCACATCCACTGCATGGACAAATATATACTGGCCAAGCAGAAACTGGTAGGGAAACGAACCAAGGCGAACGAGTGGTGAAGGATTTGTCTGCCAAATACCAAGGAAGTGGCCGAAACATTACAATGGACAATTTGTTTACGACCTTGCCAGTTGCAGAACTGCTTCTCACCTGGAAACTCACGATCGTTGGAACTTTGCGCAAAAACAAATCATATATTCCTCAAGAAATGAAGCAGAACAAAAACAGGACAATTGGTTCAACGACATTTGGCTTCAAAAATAATGTGACAATGTGCTCTTATGTTCCCAAAAAAAATAAAGTAGTAATTTTGCTTTCGACCATGCATAATGATGCTGAAATAGCTGACAGTGGTAAACCTGAAATAATTGAATATTATAATCGTACCAAAGGTGGTGTTGATCGAATGGACCAAATGTTTGCGGAATATCCAACACAAAGACAACGCGAAATTTTTCGACTAAAATTGCTATTGAAGCATATTTCAACCGACCGGTGGAATCAATGGTGTCAACAGCAGCATCAACATCTGCCGCAGCGCGCACGTCAAAACCTGTGTCCGGATCTTGCTATTTATGTTACGCACAAGAGGAAAAACGCCGTAGAAAAACCAGAAAGCTGTGCGACAAATGTAAGAAGCCAATGTGTCTTGAACATTCGATCACATCAACAAATTGCTCTATTTGCCATGATTCTCCTTAGATATAAGATGCATTTTTATAATAAAAGTCAATAATATAATGTGTGAAATGAATATTTTTAATTTTTCAAATAAAAAAATAATATAAAAAATGTTTTTTTTTTATTATTATGAGGATTTTTACTATTGGGGTACAAACGTATCCCGGGTGTGTGTTTACGTATATAATGTGTTTGGAAGGCTGTAGCTCCTGAACCAATGGTCCCATCTGGTTCGAATTTTGAATTTGAACTCAAAACTAAATAATCTTCCTAGATCCGAAGCGGTATAGAGGTATAGCGGTTCAAAAGTTACAACACTTCAAAGTTGAAAGTGGATACATTTGTACCCGGGTGTGTGTTCTAGGGTTAATATGCACTGCTAGTCGTTTACAAAATATTTCCATGTTTAGTTGTCACTGATTTTACTGGTTCATCCTAACTGCCGCACTTGTTTTGCTTGCGCCGAACGCTTCTTGGCCGCCGCTTTCGTCTTCTTTCTCGCTGAGGAAAATCCATTAAGGAATGCGCGCAATACTGCGTCACACTTTACAGGATGAGTGAGGGAAGAAGCCAGCGAAAGAGCGAGTGAGCCGGGAAGGAACGTTCAAACGGGCGCACTTTTAAATGCACCGAAAATGCTAAACATAAAATGCAAAAAAAAGGCGAAATGCATAAAAAAAAATGTTCAGCAAGTAGATGCAAAAATCGAAAAGCGTTAATGCTGCGTGAAATTAGATTTACACTGAAATCGGCGCAGATCGTGAAACGTCTAAAATCATCGTCATCGTCAGACCTGCAACCTACTTACTTGGTGGCTGGCTGCTTATACGAGCCACATCCACAACCGCAACCTCATCCTCAGGTGTTGCAACAAGCGACAAAATGTGGTTAACACCGCCGCGCCCCGCATGCCACGCAAGTGCTGTTCCAGGCTATACGACTTTTAGGATTTGTGTTGGCCGTTTCGCCTCTTTCAGGATTCTTCTCCGTCTCCTTTTTTTTTTTGCTTGTGGATCTGGATTAACTCTACTAATGCGTTGAGTTTGTTTACTTTTTCCAAGAA